TTCTTACTTTACAAAAGTACTGAATGTCTATCAGGATATCGAACAGTAATGTTCTATTCATATTACTGACATTGACGATTAAAGTATTATAGAGAATGATAGATTGAAAAAGTAAATTTTCAAGCTATCACTCAATTGAGTAATCTTGAACTCAGTTAAATACTTCTAAGACAAGAGGGATTTATCAATCTTAATGAATTAACCAAACTCTTACTTTTTGTATCATTCAAATTAAAAACTACCATTCATTTCATTATATTTATGTAAATCATCAAGAATATTAAAAAATTCGATTATTGCAATAAAAATGTAGGTTTATTTTTTCATAAAAGAAATATGAAGATTTAATATGAATCAAAAATGAAAAGACAAGACATTATTAATAATTTAAAGAATGTAAAATGGAAGATACATAATAGCAGTAAAGATGTGAGTACATTAAACAAATGACAGAAAGAGAATAATTAGATAAATCACTGCTAAGTCAGTAAAAGTAATATATATTTTTTGTTTTAAAGCTAAATAATTACAGTTTAAATTGCATATATATATGCAAATAAAAACATTTCACTGCATTGTCTAGAAGAAAACGAAAGACAATTTTATAGAAAATAGGTATGTTCATTAATATTGACCAGTTTCTCCTAGAAAAAAATAAATTAGATTTAAATTTAATAATTGAAATTAAGAGGTTTACCACGTAAAACAAGTGTCATCGGTGCTGGATGCATTTGTCCAGTTTGCAAATAAACAGATGAAGTTAAGGGTGGTGTTGGATAATAAAAAACTTGCATAGGATAATAAGTTGTATTTGGATGATATCCATTCGATGATAATGTTGGTTGTCCTGATGAAATTGATATCGTTGATGATTGAGATGGTGCACCTAAGGACATAGGCATTGATGGTGGAAGCATTTGTGGTTGTAATGTTGACATTGGTAGACCTGGTGGAGCTAGAATAATAAAAGAAATTTTCTGTTTTCATATGTAGATTTTTATTTCTTTTTACCTCGATGAGAAGAATACATTGTCTGTCGTTGAATATTAGTTGGAATTAAATTCGATGGTACAAGACCAAGTAAAATATGATTCATATCTTCACCTGAACATTGAATTACTTCAATATATCGTTTTTTACCATTAAAAAACATATATTTATTATTTTTATGTGTTGCTGCATTAAATGAAGCACCTTCAGAATTCATTTGAATAAATGCTTCACCCGATGGTTGACCCTAAAAAGATCAGAAAAAAGATTTTTCGTATTTAATCTACAAAAATTCTTATACAAAAAAACATACATGTGCATTATAAACCATATGAACACCTTGTGCAACCTAGAAAAAAAAAGAATTCGTTTTTATTTAATTGTAAGTAATGAAAAAAAAAGAATTTTTGTTTTACAATATGTTGAGAATGAATACCAAGAAATTCGAGAATTTGTTCAATACCACATTCAATTGGTAAATTTCTAACTCGGATACAATCTTTTTTATTTCCACCTGTTAACATTTCAGGTGGTAGAATAGGTAATGGTGCAAATGGAATATCTTTTAATGATGTTTGAAAATTTTTCGGATCTTGACTTCGTCGAAATACCTTTAATAAAAAATATTGTTTTTTTAGTTAAGAAAAAAAACGTTTGTTTTTTTTCTCTAACTAACTTGTTGTACTTCTGCTGTTGTACTACGAAAAAGTTCGATATATCTTGCACCCATCGTTTCTTTATGTTTAAGTAAAGCTTGTGATGCTTCATTTTCTGTTTTAACCATAACAAAAGCATCACCAGTACTTCGTCCATCAGGATAATGAACAAATAGAACACCTTCTTCACCATCAACTGTAGCAGTTGGTAGATCACCACGAGTAAAGAATTCAACCTAAATTAAATAGATTTTTAATCCTATCAGTTTGTAAAGAATGAAATCAAAGATGTTTTTTTTTAATATTCTACTATAAATCCCCAATTTCAAACAAAAACTAATACTTGCAGATTTTCTCTTCCTTTTAACTATATCATATCACACATTTATCAGTTATAAAAATAACACTTCCTATATTATCATTATTATCTATTCCCTTTTACATGATAGAAAAAAAATTCAATTGTATCATTTTACTACAATCATTAATAATAACTTCCCAGCGTGCAAATGATTTTTTTCCCTTTTATACCTGTAATTAAAATTTACTCGATTTATCTGCAAAATAAATATATGCATTTGAAACTTAAACATGTGAGATAAAACTTTTATTTTTTCATATGATACAATAATATATATCCGAATACTTTTTACATACCACATCTTTAGCAGTAGCATCGAATGGTAAACCACGCATACGAATAATCACTTGACCATCGCGTTGTAAAAATGCTTGGGCTTCTGAATTTGATCCTAATTTAAAATTTATATAGATAATAAAGATAGAAAATATAAAAATAAAATCATTCTATTCCTATACTCACCGTATCTATACATATGATTCTATTAACTAACAGAAGAAAAAAAAGAATCCCCTTACTATTCTTCAAGTTTCACTTTTTCTAATATGAAAAGCTTAAGAGATATTAATAGCGTCAAAAAAGAAAGTAAATGAGAAAAAGGACATTATTCATTGCTTTCTCTATTGTCTAGGTGCGCACTAGCACGATTCTAATTGAAAACAGATTTAAAATGAAAAAAAAAACTATTTCAAGATGTTATTATACGAACTTTTTAGATAATTTAAATAATGATAATATAAATTGCCATTATATGATACACCTTTTGTATTTCCCATTGTTGTCTTACATTGAATAATTAAGATGAATAAAATTAAACTTTTCGAAAACCTATTATGTACGTATATGTTTATGTATGATGTGATTTCTTTTCTTTTTTCTTTATGCAAATGATTTAAGAGAGAGAGAGAGAGAGAGAGAGAGAGAAAGAAATGAAAAAAGACACCTTACTGATGTCAATTATTTACTACCACTTTCGATTAGCACAAAAAAAACGAACAAGAAGAAGAAGAAGAAAAAGAAAATAAATGATGAAGAAAAAAACGTCAGATTGAAAATAGTAAAGTATTTAACACGTCTGACAAGTATCAACAATATTAGTAAGAACGATAAATTTTCGTTGACAGACATATTAGTAGCCTGAACACACATACATGTCGATTGACAATTTTGACAAAGAAGAACACAAAAGAAAAATCGAACATATCGTATTGTTGTCTTCTCAATCTCTTTTTTTTTCTTCTTATACTTCTATTTGTGATGATGATAATGATGACAAAAGGACATATGTACATTACAAAGATTTTTAATTATTTACCTTCAACAAAATAAAAGAGATTAGATTATAGTCTTTCTTTCGATATTATTTCTTTCTTTTTTTTTTGTTTCGATAAAAATTCATCAATGTCATTGTCTAAGACATTAGACTGAACATAAATTCATAATGATATGATTTACTTGCTGTTCCATTTCTTTATTATTCACAAGTGAATCTTTTTAATCCTCAAGTAAATAGAGATAGCTATTCGGTCATTTTTTTCTTCTTCTTCTATATTCTTATTTGCATAACCTACCACATTTGAAATATTGTCATTCGTTAATGATCAATGACCTTTGTATGAAAAAAAAAAGAAATACAGTCAACAGATCGGAAGTTTAAAGTAAAAGCGAGAAAGATCATTGATTGACGAAATGAAAAAGAAAAATCAAAATTCTTCTTTGTTTAAATGATATATATATATTATTTTACCTCCAGCAACATTGAGAAAATCACGTCCAGATGCTTTATATACTTCAATATAACGTTGGCCAATATGATGTTTATGTCGACGTAAAGCTAATTCTCGATGTGCAACTTTTGAAAACCGAACTAATGCTTCACCATTACGTCGACCTTGAGTACTAAGACATAAAGCAACACCACCTCTAGAAGAAAAGAAATAAGTGTTGAAAATCGATCTCGTTAGTGCGTATTTTTGCACATAAAGATTCAATCAATAAACTCTCGCAAATGAACCTTCTGATTTTTGACAAGATCTATATAGAGTTCAGTACTAACAAATAGATCTGATTGATATACTGATCTAGACAAAACGCTGATTTTATTGAAGATGTCAAGTATTTCAGTATAAGCAGGAGTGGCGCGAATGGGCCAACATTCGAGGGGTATAGCGAAATATTTTGAATTTTCGAAAGATTGGGTAGGGAGAGTGTCACACCCCCGACACCCGCCCCCCCCCAGTTTTAGAATTTTTCAAGTTTATAAATTCAGATAAATAGCTTTTTTAACGAAATCTGTATCTTCTATTTCAATTACACTCACTTTTCAATATCAAGACCTCGGAAAAATTTTGCAACATCTTGATCAGTACATTGCCATGGTAATCCACGAGCTCGAACAACTGTACTTTCTTCAATATTATCTTCTAATGAACTATATTAACAAAAATAAATGAATATATAATAATAATAATAAATCAGAATTTTACCATATGCCTTGTTGTAAATTAGCTGAAATATATTCAGGTTTTTCAAAATGATGTCCTAAGAAAAGAAAATAATGAAATTAAACTAAACACCCATCTTTAACCTACTTACCATCATTTAACATTTGATAAACGATTAATTCCATATGTTTAATATATCGCATACAATAATCGGTTTCATCTATAGGACATATATTTAATTCTATATGAAAATAAAATAAAGTAAATTTCTATTTGCTTTGTTCGGAATAAATTATTAGATAATTACTTTCAAGCATAGTATTTATATGATTACATTCCGAAGTTTTATACATATTTTCGAATTCAAGTCTTAAATCAAAATATTTCCAGTAATAATTAGGTAAAATTATTGATTTTTTCGCACTTTCTGGATGAAGACATTGACGTAGATGAAGACAATTTACACAAACAAATGTGATATTAATTCCTGAATCAGGATGTAAACAACGATCATGTAAAAATGCATCAAACTAGAAGAAGAAAAAAACAACGTAAAAATAAAATTTATAAATAAAAAAATTACTTTTCTTAATGCTCCATCAAGATCAAGTTCAGATGGAAATACAAGTGTTTCATCAATACCACTTATTTCTTTACATTCAGTAGTTAGAACATCAATAGTTGACGGATGAATATATTGACGATGTAATGCTACAGTCTATTTAAAATAATAAGTTAACCGTCAAAGTTAAACAAAATCAATTTATACCTTTTTCTCATCGACATCAATAATAAGATGAATCATTTCAATAATTTCCTGTTCATCAGAACCTATATTATCATCTAATAATCCTGCAGTAATCAGATGAAATAAACATAAATATTGTTTATTATTATTGTTCTTATGTTCGGTATTTGTTTCGATATTCGCTATTGATACCACTGTTGTTGTTATCGATGGTACTGAAGATGATGGAGACGTCATTGAAGACAGCAACGTGGCCGGCGAATACGTGCAAAACCGTTTACAACTTGAATCTGATAGCACTGTAAAAGTCAAGCTTACCAATAACAGCAAGAAAAAAAAAAGAAAACGAAAGAGATATGACTGTGGGAGGAAAAAACACGATGTTATTGGAAAATTGAAAAAAAAAAGTATAATCGATAGAATAACAATTGACGACAATCAATAGACAAAAAAAAAGAAGAAAAGAAAGAAAAACTAATATACACATACACAACTGTGACACAATGTAAAAAAAATGAAATAAAACATCATAATTTACTCTCTCTCTTGATTTGTCATATATTACATTCATGTCTTCGAGCAATAATTGAATAAATAAAAATAATTTTTCTTATAAAAACGAACGTTTTCAGCTGTTACCAATTTTAGATCATCATTAATGTTCAACTATGTTTTTTTCATTCAGTATTTTTAATAGTTCATTTTTGCGTAATCATTTTATACTTCATTTCATTTTTTTCTCTCTTTGTATCATTTTTTTTATATTCTTATTCTATGGTACGCGATGTCCGTTTTTTGTTCAGAGTGGGTGGTGTAAGTAACAGCTGGTCCTTGCATGAATCTATTCACATTAGAAATAAACGAGGAATATGCATATACATTCTTTTATTGTGTACTATTGAAAGAAAAAGAGATTAGTACAAAGACATATGTGTGTTTCATTCATTATAAACAATTTTTTTTTCGATTTTTATTATATGATGATAATATGTTATATGATGAAACAAAAATTTTATTTATAATATAGATATTAAAAACATTTGGCAAGTACTTTTGCATGGATGTTGGGATTTTCAGTCCGTTTGCTTTTGTCTTCTATTTTTAGCTTGAAGATATTTTTTGATTATGATTCTATTTTGATTCTATATATTAATTGATAAACAAATTTTATATGAGGCGTGATATTTTTAACTTTGCATTTATTTTATTCTAACTTCTTATATCTAAATTACTTTCAACAGAGGTTCTTTTTGGTTGTCGTCAAAGCTATTAATCATTTTGAAAATATAAATTTCTTAGTACACTTATTCCTAATTTTTAACTTATTAGGAGTTTGATTATCTCAAATGAAATATACTGACTATTTAGAAATGTCTATATTTTCCTCATTGATTGATACACACACACATACAAACACAATAATCACAAAGCAAGAAAATGGATCATATTTTTGAAAATAAAGGATGAGATCATGAATACACACGCACGCGCACACGCACACACAAAAACGCTATCTACATTAAAAGAAGAAAAAGAAGAAGATGAAAAAAAAAGAGAAAAAAAGAATCTAACAGTATTTAGTATTATGTTGTTGATAAAATTCATAACTAGTTGGATAATTTCCAACCATTTTTTGCATATGTGAATAAGAACCATGTGGATGATAGGATAAGTCTTGTTCTGTAGGTGATGAACATGTATCAGGTAGTGATGTTGAAGGTGTTTGATTTATCATATACTGTCGTGTTGCATTCGGGAAATATGCTTGTGGTGAATAAGGCCAATATCCATTCGATGTTGGAACAGAAGAAGTACCATAATCATTATGTGCAGAATAAATATGTTGTCCATTATGATGATTACCATTTTGAATATGATGAAAATTCGTTTTATTATTACCATTTGATGATGAAGTAACAGTTGGATCATATATTCCAGCAGATGTCATTGTATCAAAAAGAGAAAAATTTGGTATTCTCATTGATGGTGGTGGTGGTGGTGGTTGTTGTTGTGCTGGCTGCGGTGGTGGTGTTTTTGGTGAAGATAAATGAGCATATGCTGATAAATGATCACCTGATTCACTGGCTTCAACTGGTTCCATTTTTGGTGTTATACATTCAGCAGCATGTTTCTATAAAATTTAATAGAACAAAAAAAATAATGTTTAATTTAAAATAAAATCTTTTTTTTTTCAATACCTTTTTTGGTGATGGTAAACAATCAGTACCATCTGATGGTGAATCTTTTTCAAGTTGAGTTCGAGAACGACTTGCTTTTGTAGTTGAATGATTATTTGGACTAGTTAAATTGGGTGAATTTTGACGTCCTTTTTGTCGTGATCCTTGTTGATGTCGATGATGATTATTTGTAGCTTCTTGTTTAAAACGACGACGTCGTCGTAAAAATGAACCATTTTCAAACATATTATGTGAATCAGGATGAAGCATCCAATAAGATCCTTTACCTATATATATATATAATTTTTTTTTGTTCAAATATAATCATTCAACAAACCTGGTCGTTTATCATCTCGTGTTACTTTAACAAAACAATCGTTTAATGATAAATTATGTCGAATAGAATTTTGCCAACCTTGTTTATTTTCTCGATAATACTATAAACAAAAGAATGAATATATCAATATCATTTAAACAATATAACTTACTGGATAGTGATCCATAATATATCGATAAATACCATTTAAAGTACATTTTTGATCTGGACTATTTTGAATAGCTGATGTTATTAATGCTATATAACTCATGGCCGGTTTCGCTTTTTCTTTCGAATTAACAGTTGACATTGCATAAGAATAAGCCACTGCTGATGGACGTGATAGTAAATGATATGCAGCTGCATCTGTATAACCGGAATATGGATTTGTTTGATGAACATTATAGGATGGTGCTGATCCAGATGATGGATGTATCAAACGATTTGTCGTTGGTGAATAATAAGCAGCGGCAGCAGCAGCAGCAGCATTTGTTGAATCATAATAATTGGAAAATGTTGTCGCTGTTGAATTATGATTTGTCGATGAAGTAATTGGTGGTGAACTTGAATTTGTCATTTATATATATATTTTTATTGAAAGAGACCGAATAAGATTAGAATATTAATTGATTATCACAGTGATTATTTTAATAAGAGAAAAAAGAAAACAATAACATTGATACTATGAGCCAAATAAAACAAATAAGGAACTAGTCGATGTACAGCAATATAAAAAAATCGACTGGAGGGATAGACGAATGTATGTTTTTCGTAATAATAAACAGAAATTACGATTTGATCGACTGTTTTTATTACTTTTTCTCCCTTCTCGTCCTTTTTTGACAGCCTTGGACACGAAGAATTTTTTGCTTGGTTAAATAAATAGAAGTTCTTTCCCAATAATCAAAATTAATATAAAAAGTACGCAGAGACTGCTACCAGCGTATGCTTACTCATCAAGCAATTTTCTTCTTTCGTCGTTATAAGAATAACAAATCCAGTCGAGTTTTTTTTCTCTCTCTCTCTTTCTTTTCTCTCCCTTTCTCTCTCTCGCTCTCATTTAGTATACTTCTGTCTACTGCCAATCGTTATTGCGATGACATTCTTTTCTCTCCTACACGAATCAGAATTTTTGTCCAATGAAATAAAGTTCTTTTTTTTT